TATGGTAGCGGAGGATTAGTCCTAGTCATTGGAAATGCAAATGATCTCCGTGCTCGCTCCCAGCATCTTTTTTGTAGGCTTGTGTTTCAGAAAGGATTTTTCGTTTGTTGTGGTTTTTTTTTCTCCTTTTTCCTTCTCCTCAGAGCAGCAGTGCTGCTTTCCCAGCAGCATTAAATATTCCCCAAGCTGAGACACTAACCTTGTAATGCTTTTATATATAATATACAGACTTTATTTTTTTTTTCCATTTTAAATGGTAGCTCATAATGACATTGTGGAGTAGGAATCCCGAGTCAGCCTTATTATCACGGTGTCTCCTTGAGCTGAACCTCTGAGAAATATGAAGGGGAGACCTTTTGGAATGAACAAATCCTTTAGTTGCCTATAATTATTTATTAAAATAGGCGGCCAGGATAAAGGCCGGGGAGGGGGAGGGAGGAGCGGCATTCCTCTCCCCGTCCGTCCCTCCGCGCGGGCACACGTAGATACACACCCGGGCAGCCAACAGGACCGCTGCCGTGGCCAGGCTGGCACTTGAGAAATATAAAACAATGGCTGTGCAGCCGGAGCGATAAACCGTGCCCAGGTGACACGCACTGTTACGCACCGAAGGGAGACGGCTGCGTCCTGCCCGCTCGGAGCATCCCGCGCTGCTGGGGGAGTCTCACGGCGATGCTGGGCAGGCTTGCGAGGCATGTGGGGAAAAGGGAAATGAGGACGGGAGCAGTGTTTTCCCACTCTGTGTGCGAGTGGTGAAAGCGAAACCATTTTGCTTCATTAGCTGGGTATAAGAAAGGGGGAAAAAGGGAACAAGAAAATCTCCCAAACAAAACCCGACCAAAAACCCGACAAAACACAAATCAAACAACTGAGAGACACACAAAGCAAAAGCCCTCCAAAGCACCAAGCAAACCTTGCTGGTATTTCACGGAATGCTCGCTCCAGTGACCGCAGACGTGTCCAGCTCCGGTGCCCGGCCGCGGCAGCCGGGAGCGCCGCGCTGCCGAGCGTGGCCGCGCTGCCGCGACCCTCTTCCTGCGTCGGCAGAAATTTTATAAACTTCGTCTACTTTTTAAAAAAAAAAAAAATCTTTGGGGTCAATTTTCCACTTGTGCCTGTAGCTCTTGAACAAGTACTTTTATGGTTCCTTCTAGCGCACAGGATTTATCTGCAGCTCAGTGAAGGGCTTTTACATTTAATCCAGCGCTGAAGGAGTAATTTGTTGCCGGCGCTTCCTAGCAGGCTTTTCTTTTAACTTAGCCGGGATGCGGGCCCTTTGTGCGGGCTAATTTGTGCCGCACAATGCTGGGGCATCTCGGAGCCGGGGCGGCTCGGGGCCGCCCCCCGGATGTCCTCCCGGGCGAGCCAGGGACGGGCAGGGAGAAAGGGCTGGGGGCGCCTCGGGGCTGCACCCGCCGCGCTCCCGGCCCGAGCCGGCCGGGAACTCCGCTGGGTTTTCCACGTGTGTGCACGCAGCCATCGCTGCACGGAATTTATAGGAGCTCCTGTGCTTTTTCTGAAAAGATTCTGGGTTTTTAAGGTTTTTTGGGTTTTTTAGAGTTTCTTTGGATAATCGGTTTTTAAAATCAAATTTAAAGTTCCTCTTGCACTGGGGATAACGTGCTTGGATTTGTTTTTTTCCTGGAGGAGGCGATGCTTTATAGCCTGTCCGTATATATTTTTTCAGGGAGAGGGAAATATCATGGTAAAGGAAGAGAATCTTTTGCCAATTCTTTCTTTTAATTGAAGTATCACAGTTTTTATAATAATTTTTGAAGTGAGAGATTCACCCTTCCGCCTTGTATATGCCTGTCTTTTTTAATTAAAAATAGTGTTGTTCTGATACCAGTATTGTGGACGAATATTTTATTCCAGATATTAAAACATCTTGGGGATACGTTTGGGCATAGCAGAAGCGTGTGAAATAGTGCCCGACAAATATGAAATAGCCTCTCATAAATAAAGATACTAAAGCCACAATATTAAAAATGGGATCAGCTCTGCCTGCCTCCCTTTTATCACATTTCTGAACTAGGCTGATACTGCAGGCGGCTTTTTGGTGACGGCTCGGGAAAGAAACGTTGCTGTATTTACATGAATTATGCCTGTACTTTATACTCTGTTCGGGGGGACTCTGGATCCCTTTTCTACGCTGGGCAAATGTCAGTATAAAGCAGCAGCGCCTCTAACTATAAAAGCACTAAAAAGCTGCTTTTGGGAGCTGTGTGCCCCAGGTATGGGCAGGGCCAGCCCCCCTCTCCCTGCCCAGTCCTGGACAGGCATCCCTGACTTACAGCCCGAATCATTCTAGCCGCAGCCCAGCAATCTCCATGAACCACAGAGCGGGGAGCCCGCAGGTACGGCAGCGGCACGTGGGGAGGGAGCTTTATGGGCATGATTTAGTGAATATGAGAACATATTTTGTGCTCCATTGTTTAGACTCAAGAAGGCATAAAATCTTTAACATCTATTTATCACGTAGCTGTTTTAATGTAAACATTTGTCTATTTGGATGAAGTGTTTTCATTATTAAGCTAATTTCCACATGTTTCAGATAGACTGATGAGTTCCAAGCAGAGCACTCGCTGATGAGAAACGAAATTCGGCCACGGCTCAGCCTGCTGTCAGATACATCTTCATTAGTTTTTGTCATTCACTGATGGCAAATGCTCTATAAATGAGATGACGATCAGGTCCGCCTTGATAACTTGCCTTATCTCATTAGTTTTCACATCAAAGTTAATCAGCAATGTGAATTGTAATTGCTGGAAGAGACAATGCAATAGATCACTCGGCCTTTTTTTTCTGCGTGGCATCTTGAAACATCAGCAGGCTGGTGTGAGTAGATAGGCTCCGAAGGAAAATAATGTGGAAAGCATAATAAGCAAGCTGCTCAGAATTAATGAGCTTACCCAATAAGAAAAGAATAACCAATCAATGTGAGCTGGGCAAATATAATTTAGGAATAATTGCTTGATTGGTTGTCTATAGTAGGCTGATTTGACCACACACAAGGATTAAGAATTAAGATGTCAAGGCAAAAAATAATTTGGCAACTGAGGGCATGTAATTTTTTGTTCCCCTCCCTTTATGACTGAAAGCGATTGCTGTTTGATATGTTATTCCCCGGGAATGAAAACATTAGACGGGCACGCACCGGTGGGTGGGGTTCTTCCTCTCCTTTATATGCTCCTTTTGTCATACAAGGTCTTTCAAACCTCGCCGGGGATATTGCGGCATGGGACATTAAAAACGAATGGGGGGTGGGGGACGGGGGTTGGAAATAAAATAAAACTACAGAAAGCCCCCAGACGTCTTCATCTGTGAGCGCCCCACGAAGAGGAGCAGGGGCTGCATGCTCAGCGCCGTGCCTGGAGTTGGCAGAGCCCGGCCGTGCCCAGCTCCAGACCCCATTCCTGCGCAGCGCGCATTTTTCGTATAATTCTCCGCACAGCCATTGGCCAATTAGTAAAGAACCCTTGTATTCGTCTATCTACGGGGAAGGTTCAGCCAGAAGGTAAATTTGCTTTGATCTACATTACACCTAATTGAGTCACCACCAATGTCTCTATCCCAACATCAAGAAATGTGAAAATGTTAGATTATTTCACTGGGGATTAAACCTAATTTTCGCGTGTTCTGCATTAACCTATTAGGCTGACTCATCTGCATTGCTAATGCGGCTCAGGCAGCTGTCACCGCTAAAGAAAAACATGATCATGCAATCCTTGAATGAATGATTCCAGCTCTGATTAGTGTTACTGAAGTTAGCTGAGCCCTGGTGATAAGGCAGGAAAATTCCCAGGTTGCCAATAGCCTTGAAAATTATCAGACTCTGGGCAAAATGTAGCTAGCGGTGCGCGGGGCCTCCCTCTGAAGGTGGCATTATTTAAGGCCGTCTCTCTCTTCGGGCTGCTCACTGGAACGTGGTTGCTGCTGCAGCTCCTTCCAAGGGGCTGGTGCCAGGGGTACGAATTAAAATGCTAATTGGGAGAGACCTGAGCATGGACTGCCGCGGTTCTTTTCCTGCCCGGCCGCGTCCGGGCTTTAAATAAGGTTTCCAGAGGGCAGAGGCGGCGATGCCCGAGCGGCTCCGGCCGGGAAAAGGGCCTTGGGGGCCCGGCCACAGCCCCGGGCTGGGCTCCGCTCTTTGTTCCTGAGGCGCAGGCACCGCCATCAGCTCCAGCCGTTCCTCATTCTATCTGTCAGATTTAAATAGGAAAAAGGGGAGGAAAAAGCAACAATGGCCCATCCCCTTGAGATGGGAAAAAATTTAGGAGTGAGTTATCCCCGAGCAATAGAGCCAGGAGCTAATTTAATCCGATTAGCGCCTGCTGACAATGGATGCTCCTCACCCATTGTGGACAGAAGCTTTCACTTTATTTGTTTCTATTAGCCGAGAACCCAAGATATTGGGAAAGTGGAACTTTGCCCCAGCAATTGAAGAAAAAACAAATTGAGAGAAATCATCTAAAGTGTCAATATTGATCTTTCGGCCCTGACTGTGTGCAGAGAGGACTTGTTGAGTGCCCAAAGTTTGCTGCACCCGTTGCTGTGTGCTCTCGGTACTCCCTGATCAGGGGTTGGTGGCAGTTCTTCCTGCCAGGATGGTGGGTGCATAGGGCAGGAGCTGCCAAGGCAAAACAGAGGGCTTTCCATGGGAAAATAGAGCTGTTCACCAAACCACAGCACTGAAAGGAAATGTAGCGAGGCTTTAAACTGCCAGGCACCTGTTGGTGAACTCCCAGTTTCTCAGTGAACACACTCATGCAGGTGTCAGCATTTCATGGAGAGGAGCTCCTTTCCACACACCTGGAATGCATTCTCCCGTCTCCCAGCACCGATACCTGTGACAGCCACAGCACCGCTCGGCATCGCCAGCGGCTCCCCCCGTCCCTGCGTGACTGTGGTGTTGCTCCAGTGAAGACAGGCCACACCTGGGCTCCATGTGCTGCTGCTCTAGCCACCTCCCTGAACCACCTGGGGCATGGCCAAAGTTGGGCAGATTGGTGTGACCAGACTTGCTGCAAGGTCTGCTTTGTTTTCGAGAAGCGGGATTCCCCTCGGTGCTCCCCTGTGCATCCAAACCCCGCAGACGTGCCCAGGAGCCCTGGGAATGCCACACTGGAGATGGCCAAGCCTGTTAGCCATTGCTGGGCAGTGGGGGGGCAGGATGGAGGTGGACACCAAGGTCAGCACAGGGTGGTGACCTGTTCCCTCCAAATCAACACTGCTGGCATTAAAACACAACCTTCAGTGCCCCAGGGATTCCAAGGGGAATGGGAGGAGAGGGATGTGTGGCAGCAGGAGCACTCCCTTCACCAAGGGGCCTTCCTGGGGACCCCCACCATGAGCTGGCAGTGCTGGCCAGGGCAACTCAGGTGGTGCAAACCGTAAGATTCAGGGGTTTACCCCCAAGTTTTTTGTTGTCTGGAAAAATCGGGACCCACTGAGAAAAGCTGTGTTCCCAGAAAAGGAGCTACATTGCAGGCTGGGAGAGGTGCCTGTTAATATCCCAGGCTCCTGGAGTAGCTGCAGACCAGAATTGTGTCCTGATCCACATCCTTGCAAGTCATGGGGTAATTTCTCTGAGCACCAGTCCCTCTCGTCCTCACTGGTGCTGCCCTGGGAGTGACAGCCTGCCTGGGAAAAAAGGCTCAGAGGAGAATTATTTTGCAGAGCTACCCCATAAAAATGACTTCTTCTCCTAAAATGGGATTTTTTTTTTTCTCCCCTCTGTTCCAGTAAGCAGCTCCAGGTGTCAACTGAGCAAAGTCCAGATCAGCTGCAGTTATTCCAGAGTATGCGTCCACATGCAGAATATTCCAGAACAGGTATTTCACTTTAAATTCATGCCCCATCTTATTCCAGAATATTTTCCCTGCATGAAGAAGCACTTGGCTGGGGTCTCTGCTTGCTGCTGTACTAGTGATAAGATGGATTGGCTGATCTAATAGGTCTTTTCAATCTCTGATTTTGAAAGCTAAGATTGGGAAATTAATTTCAGAAAGGTCAAAACAGAGCAAGGCTATCCTGCTGCTGTGTGATGGATCCTTTTTTTTTTTTTAAATCTGCCTATTGAGGGAAAGGTTAGTTATTCAGCATCCTGCAAAAGAAAGAAATAAATAAAGCAGGCCGAGGAGCACAAAAGTGTATAGATCTGCTGACCCATTCGCAATCCTCAGTTAATGAGAGTGCTGAGGAGCGGGAGCGCTGAGAGGCTGCAGAGCGGGGGCAGCGACCCTGTGGGCAGGCAGCGGGAGCGGGATGTCTCCTCCGCCCGCACCGCGCGTGGCCGCCGCGGTGGCCAGAGCCTGGGAGGTCTGCTCCTACCCCCCGGCTGGGAAAATGCCAGGCAGCGATCCCTGGGGTGTTCACATAAAACCCAGCCCGAGGCACCGAGGGGACGGAGAGGGGCGGCAGCGTCGCTCGGAACCGCTGTGGTCATGGGGAGTTACGCTGTATGGGGTTTTAGCGTGTAGAGAAACAGAAGATTCGGAAGGGAGGGGGAGAAAAAGAAAAAACAGAGGCTTCATGTAGATATTTCCCTGCTTTTTATTTACTTGTTCTGTTCCAACACAGCCAAGCAGTAAAATGGAGAGTAAATTGCTTTTGTGCTTTTAAAAACTAGGGAATCAGAGGTAGAGCAAAGTGGCTGGTTAGGAGGGAATGACATCTTAATTAACAACAAAATAGATTTCTCTTGTTTGTTTGTTTGTTTGTTTGGGTG